GCTTGTCCGATGGCTTAAACTTATTTAAAAGACTTGTTTCTTTTTGTCTTATGTTATTGCTTAATTTCGATGTTAGCATTTGGCCTTCATAAAGTTGGGACACCCACAGTACAAACGACGCTAAGTGATTGACACCCTCCGGACTTGGGGTCTGCATATGTATCTGGGTTCGTGGCCAACAAACGCGGAAGTAATAAAAGAAAGCCCCCCAAATTTTTTCCGGGCATCTTGACATCACCCTCTTTGGTTAAGGGTTGCGTTTAGAACGACTGCCTTAGACCACGACTTCGTGTTGTCTCTGCCTTTGGTTTGCCCAGATTTTTGGTTATCCTTGACCTGCAAGCGTAAGCCAGTATGTGTTTGCTTGTCTGTGCAGGGTGTCGCATTCGCATAATTTGTAGGTCATGCATATTTGGCATGTTTGACATGTTTTCTTGGGGCTTAACATGATAAACACTCAAGGGTGCTGGCGAAATAAAGCACACACAAGGAACCAGGACTCGGGTCGCTGCTTAGTGGTCTCATGGTATCATTGAAAGTCCGTGTGTGTGCTTAGTTGTTTTCTAAACAATTTCTCAGTCAATTTGATCGCTTGGGAGGGGAACTTAATTTTATTTCCAAGTGGAAAACTTTGTCTGCCAGCAAATTCCTTAAAGTGGTCGTTCGGGGAGTCGCCGCTCCGCCTTTCACCTATCCCGATTTCGGCAACTGGGACTTTAATCAAATGCTAGCCGCACACTCTGGACTCAGAAACCAGTTTGCCAAATCAAGGAGAGCGAATGCCTTGCGGAACGAGTTTTGTTAGTTCCGCTTCGTGTTGCGTTTGCCATTGCCTGCAGAGCGCAAGATTTGTGTCCAGCTCCAAGGCTCTGGCCACGTTGCAGGCGCATGTATGACTCGAATATGGTCTTGACGCTTCGGCTCAATCTGAAACCTCAAAGTGCATTTTTTGGCTAACTTCACTCAACACGACTGCCCGACTCGAGTGGAGTGATCTGGATGCTGCTCCGGCTCTCGCTGCTTTCAATGTAGGTCGCTGCAATTCAGTACTGGCCAGATCAGCGGCTTCGGTTTGGTTTCTTGCTCGCTTGACGTCTCTCTGCTAATGCGTTGCTTTTCAAATCCTGCTCCACTGCCCATGCAGCTCTCGTCGCAGGCCAGAAGGCCAGAACAGGTTTACAGTGGGCCCTATCCCTATCAGCAGGATCCGACTATAGTCCGCCCTTAGTGGCGATTAACACATCAACCTCAGCTCGTGACTGACCGATAGGAGCCATAAATCAGGCCACGCTTAATCGGCCAGCTAAAGGTTCGACACTATCCGAGCGCTTCTAGCCGTGGCGTCTTGAGTTTGACACATGCTCTCGACATCCTGAAGAACATCTTTGGGGGCTCCGTTCAATTGATTCGGCGTAACGGGGAGAGCGGCAGCGACATTTAGATCCCCAGCTAGGACACCCACATGTCTGGTTGCCAGGCATACTGTCCCAGATGAGGGGAGCATGTGACTTGGCTGCTGTCATGGCAGCGCTTAGTCCGGCACTCAAGGTCATTGGGAGCCGCATAAAGTCGCCTTAAAGCAAGCTTTCCACAAGAACATCCCACCCCTCGCACACACACGAAGCTTGTTGTTGCAACCTGTTGAGAACAGCTCGACGGGAAAAAAGCAAAAAGGAAAAGCTAAACGCGAGAAAATCCTTCTGGCAGAGCTCCGGCAGAGGCAGCGACGTATCCACCGCCCACCGTTCTCTCTAATCTCTGCCCATGTGAGTACTGGGGACCCACCCTTCGCCGGACACTGGCTACAGGTGGTTTGCCCCGAGTATGAGCCAGCTGTTGGTGTAATTAGAACGGACCCCGCTTGTGTAACCATTCCGAGAATAACGTCTGCCATCAGTTGAGTCCAGGTTGGGCGCTCAAGGTCGCCTGCTGTGGCCCCATCCGCTCTCCGGTTGCTACCTTTGACCCGGTCGTGGGGTAGCAGCCTTGAAACGCTGCCTCTTACCGTGAAAATTTTTCAGTTGGCGCACTTTCACATACTTTTTTCTAGCGCTTTGCTTGGGAGCACTTATCCATGGGTCAGCCTGCCACCTGCCACCCATTTTAACTTCTCCTCGTTGGGAGCAGAAAAGAAAAACCTGACGGCTGAAGGAAAAACGACGACGACAGAACGAGAGTGAAAGTCTTTGCCACATGGGGACGAAGCCTTACGCACTCACACACCCACTCGATGACGACGACGCCGCAGTCGACGCCAACGGCGACGCGGGCAGCGGCGCCAATACCAGCACCAATACCAGTATAGGGGGCAGGCTCTTTTCGTTCTTTTCTCGTTTTCTTCACCATTTTTTATTCACTTTTCCTTTAGTTTTTTTTGCTTCTGATTTGAGCCTGCTCTGCCGTTGCTGCTACTGTTTATTTTGGTCGCCGGATTTTTCGTCTTTTTGGCTACTACTTTCCTCTGCAGGCTGCAAACTTTTCTCAATTTTTTCTCTTCGGTAGCATGTCCATTTTTCCATTATTGGATGTTGGAAATATGGGGGAAGGGAAACCAGCAGGGTAATTCTTTGGCGTGTCGCTTTTGAAATAGTTCGTCAATTAAGGGACGCCCCCTCTTGTCTGCCTCCCAGGATCGCGCGTAGTAGAAATGCTGAATGCTTTTTATTGTTGAGCTTTTTAGTTGCTAAAATTGGAGCTAAAAGCTTTTTGTGTTGGGTTGGGTGTGGGTCTTCGCTTTTGCGATCGGTATCCGAGTATTAAACCCCCTGTAGAGAGAGTAAAATTCTTTATATTGTTTTCAAAATATTTCTCGGCTTAAATTGAAGCAAAATCTTTGTAACTTTCGATTGGTAGCTCAAACCGGCAGTGGAGACTTTTCTTTGTTTATGGAAAGTTTTTGTCGGCTTTAGCGCTGCGTTGAAGAATCCATTGAACGTCGATCAATGAAATTTGTACACTCTTGTGCGTCATGCATACAATCTTCTGCACATGTCTTTAGCACATTCCACCGCTGACTTTTGACTGACCGCTCTAGTATCTCTCAATCTGCTTACAATTGCATTATTTCTAAATCATTATGCGTTTTCATCGCTTTCAATTGTTACCCGCTTACCGCTATCTTAATCAAGACGTGTTTAAATCCAAAGAATTCCGTTGTACCCGACGACATCTAAGTCGACGACAGAGGGCAATTGATTGATGTCGAGCTTGTCCAATACCGATGACATTAAGATTGCTCTGGTTCCAGGAAAGTCTTGGGGGCCTGCGCCCGTTCGATTATCAAGTAGCTTGAATGCACAGGCAGCCCAATGCTCCAGATAGGGAGTAGTCAAGCGGAGCGCAATTGAGGTGATTGGAGTCGGGGTCAATATCAGCGTGCAGCTGATGGAGGTTTTTATCTGAGGCTCAGAGCCGGAAATGCTGACCGTATCAGAGTTTATTTTCTTACAAAGAAATCATAAACTTAATAAAAAATCATGTCCGAAGTCGAAGCAAGAAATAACATGTATTTTCATCTACATAAATATCTATCTCTTAATCTTTACAACGAAAGGATGTATTCCCTTTTGTCACCTTTTCCAAGAGCAGTACTCAACTGATTTTTGGGTGCGTATTCAAGCACGAATACGTACTTTCGACCGTAGGAATCGAAATATTTTGTGAGCTGATCAAAGCTATCGCCGGAAAATAAAGACGTTATTCGCTTTGCCATATAGTTCCCCATAAAACGAAAAAACAATCCGGTATTCCTGACTCCTACTTGCGGTAACGTGCTCGATATTGGGTTGTAGGCCTTTTTTTTGGCACGGTGCGCGATTCGTGTCTTTCCGCCCAAAGCGACGAACGTGTTGAATGACGCACCCACGAGCCACGAATTTTTGGATGCGTAACTCCCACAGCCGTACGTGTAAGAATAACAATATTATTAACAAGAAAGAAAGCAAACTTCGGCAAGCCGAAGTTCATATACCCTTGCAGCTATTGCAAGAATTTAACATTTTTGAAAACATTAAAATTATGATTAACTGCGTATATGTTTAAAAACATTGAAGCTATGATGATTAGCAGCTCAATTATTTGATAGTTATTTTATATATTTTTATTATTTCTATGGGAGCTATATGATATAGACGTCCGATTTTGATAAAATCTAAACCATAATTCTGAAATATTTAATCATTGCTATATGTCGAAGAACTGAACAAAAAATTAAAAAACAGAAAAGTTATCATTTTTTTCATTTATTTTTCCGATTGTTCCTATGGGAGCTATATGCTATAGTCGTCCGATTTTGATATAATTTAAACCGTAAATCGGAAATATTTAACCATTACTAAATCTCGAAGGACTAAACAAAAAATTAAAAAACAGAAAAGTTATAATTTTTTTCATTTATTTTTCCGATTGTTCCTATGGAAGGTATATGCTATAGTCGTCCGATTTTGATGAAATTAAAACCGTAAATCGGAAATATTTAACCATTACTAAACGTCGAAGAACTAAAAAAAAAATAAAAAACAGCAAAGTTATAATTTTTTTCATTTATTTTTCCGATTGTTCCTATGGGAGCTATATGCTATAGTCGTCCGATCCGGCTCGTCCCGACTTATATACTACCTGCAATAGAAAGACAACTTTTGGGAAAGTTTCTGCAGATAGCTTTAAAACTGAGAGACTAGTTTGCATATAAACGGACGGACAGACGGACAGACTGACAGACGGACAGACGGACGGACAGACGGACGGACAGACGGACATGGCTAGATAGACTCTATTAGTGATGCTGATCAAGAATATATATACTTTATAGGGTCGGAGATGTCTCCTTCACTGCGTTGCAAACTTCTGACTGAAATTATAATACCCTCTGCAAGGGTATAAAAATGCCGAAAGTAGTTTTGGTTACATGACGCTGACTCTGAGATTTGTGGCAGTCTATCGAAACTGCGTGCGAGTTGAGATGTATCATCTATGTTAACACTGTTCCTTTATCTTTGCAGGTAACTTCACTTCGCATAGGCTTTATCCATTGATCACGTAAAGAACGGCGTAAGATCTTATTTGACAGATCGCAGATTACTCATGCAGATTGAGAATGGAGGGAGAGGGAAAGAATCGACCCATCTCCGGTGCGGAAGCGCACGATTTAGTCATGCATTTTGGAGCGGCCACGGCCGTGATACGGCAGCTCGCGTTCCCCGGCGGAGAGTTTCTTCCGGTCCGCGGGCACGTGGGGAGAGCACTCTGTTATATGTCAGCTACAACGTTAGCCGAGAGTAGGCTAGCGTCGTTTTGGTCTCTTTGACGCGACAGCTAATATCTCCGTACTTAAATCACACGGCGGTCAATCGGCATTCGAGTTATGCAACATTCTCGGAAGCGAGCGCACCCAGCGACCTTTTAAGCGCGTCTGCCCCGCTCTAAGCCATCACTTGCACTCTAGAGCTGCCCGCGTTCTCAGCCAAGGATCTATTCACGAAACAACTCGGATACTAACTCTAGCAACCCAAAGTTAGTCCATCAGATGAGCCCAGGATCACGACAAGAAATTAGTTCCCGCTGTATTCCGAGACATCTGAAATAGAGTGCCAATCATGACGCACTGCCTCTGGTCGACGTCTCTGGGCATGCTGGCCCTCCTGGCCCTGCTTTCCATGGTGAGCAGTCGCTCGGTGCGCCAACTGCCGAATAGATATCCGCCCTTGCTGCCAGCCGGATACTATGGGCAGTCGCCCTACGCCTACCCGCCCTACGGCTATGGTTACCAAGCCCCACACTTTGCGATCAATCCTCCAGGCACTTACTTCGACAACGTTTACGGCGTCTACAAGACCTACCCGGGCGGTGGATATCCCGTGCGGTTCGACTACGTAAGTAAATGTTTTTGTCACTATTCAAAAAACAAAACAAATTTTATTTAATTTAAATATTTTTCTAAATTATTTTTTGTTGGTTACTGGCTTATGCAAAGCAAGCAAGAAAGGAAGCAAAGTTATGTAAATCGTTGCTGATATAACAAAATTGATTCATTATTTATATACAACGACTATTTACGATTTTTAAGCCTATATAGTTAAGAATTTTGATACATTTTTTGAATGCTATGACATATTATTCAAGAAAACTAAATATTCGTTTACAAAATCCGAAAATATGTCTATATCGAGTTGTACGCGTATATGTATTTTGATTTTTCTATTATTTTTTAATTCATTTTCCTTTGGCTGGATCGATTCCCCTGTCGATGCTAATCAAGAACAAAATACTTTATAGGGTTGAAATGTCTCCATTAATGTGTCTTGCAACCTCTAAATGAAATTAAAATGTCATCTGCAAGGTTTATAATTAGAAAAATTAAAGATGCTGAAATAGAAATTTGTACAGGTAAACCTCAGTTAGCTTCACTAAGAATCGATTCTGAACGAAGAGTTAAAAGGGGTATTAAAAATTTCTGGATATTATTTAAACTTTTTATTAAAGAACAATCGTTGCTCTCGGAACTACATTGGCATTAAGCCTCACCCAGATCAGCAGCAGTACTATTATGTCTGTAAGCCCAACTGTGTAATCTTTAGCAAGTGCCGCAATCTTGAGGTAAGTGTTGACCTCACCAGCCCATTAACCTTAACTGACCGTCCCATTTTGCAGAGTTTCAACTCGAGCAGTGGGCGGTGCGTGCAGCACGTTCCACAACACAGACCGGACCACATGCTGCCACAGTGTCAGAAGGAGGGGCGCTTCCCGCACCCTCACGATTGCAAAGTTTACTACAGGTGCGATAAAAACCGGACGCACCCTTGGCTTTTCGCCTGCCCCGAGGGCACCATCTTCTCGCCCGTGGAGCGAAAGTGTCTGCCCGGCGATCAGTGCCCCTCCACGGAAATCTCGGAGAGTGGCAGCTATATACCGCAGAACTGCGAGATCAAGTTCCCAGAGTGCGCCGAGGAGGGCACCTTTCGCTCGCCGACGGACTGCGCCCTCTACTACACATGTCGATTGCAAGAAAGCGGTACCTATCTGCAAACGCGTTTTAAGTGCCCTGGCAGCAACAGTTTTGACCTCGAACGAAAGCTATGTCGTCCCCGCCATGAAGTTGACTGCTTGGATTATGTCTCTGGTCCTGTTCCAGTACCTTACCATGCCCCACAGGCATACTATCCACCGTACCCAGTTGCACCGCTCTACGAAGAGGACGACTACGATACGGAAGCCAGGGAACAGGAGCCTGCTATTCAGTCCGGGAAAGACCCTCTGTTTGAAAGACCCTCTGTTAAAATTGTCGTTCTGCCCACCACGCCAGCCACCACCACTTCAAAGCGCACTGCCGATTACCCCTCATATGAGCACACTTTACACCACAGTGGTAAAGAACCGTCATTAGGGAGCCCAAAGGTTCAGGCGAATGAAGACTCGCTCAGAATTAAGCTTTCAAAGAACATTGTCATCATGCCCACCACACCAGAGACTACAACAATCAAGAGTAAGCTTTCAACGGATACCACTAAATATCAATACAAAAGGTACACCTATGCAACAACCAAAGACTTTGTAACTGAGACTCCGCAACACAAGGAAGTGCCAACGGACTTCCACCTATCAAAAAATATAGTCATTTTTCCGACTACGACTACAACAACTACTACAAAACCAATAGCTTCTACATGCCCCACTTTTCCGATGCCAAGTACAACTCGAAAATCGAACACAACTACGCCAAAAACTAGTACAGTGACAGATACAACCATTAAGCCTACGACAACGCTGAGGACAAGCACTACTCAAAAACAAAATACGACGACACCGAAAACAACAACGACCCAGATATCAACGGTGGATCCAAAGACAACAACAACTGCTTCTACGACGACAATAACGGCACAGAAATCGACAAAGTCTCCGAATACATCCACAGTTACAACAGCTTCTCAACAACCAATAACAACCACTCTTAACACATCAACAGTAACTACGACCACTCAAAAGCCAAAAACTACTAGTGCAAAACCAAACACAACGACCCAAAAATCAACAACAAACAGTAAGACAAGTACCGTGGCAAGCACTACGCAACAGACTACTTCTACATTAACTACAACCACTCCAAAACGAACAACTACCACCCTTAAACCTATCACAACAACTTTGAAGACGACAACAGTGACCACTACTACTCAAAAACCAATAACAACCACACTGATAAGCACTACAGTAACCACGTCAACTCAAAAGCCAACAACTGATACTCCTAAACCGACAACAACGACCCAGAAATCAACAACGAGTCAGAAATCAACTGCAGTGACAACTACTACTCAACAACCAATAACGAACACGACAACCCAAAAATCAACAACGAAGACAAGTACAGTGACAAGCACCACGCAACAGCCAATTTCTACAGTAACTACAACCACTACCACAACAACTCCGAAGACAACAATAGTGACAACAACGACTCAAAAACCAACAACGACCACACTGAAAAGCACTTCAGTAAACACGTCAACTCAAAAGCCAACAACTGATACTCCTAAACCGACAACAACGACCCAGAAATCAACAACGAGTCAGAAACCAACTGCAGTGACAACTACTACTCAACAACCAATGACGAGCTCTCTGAAAACCTCAACAGTAACTACAACCACTCGAAAACCAAAAACTACTACTACACAACCGAACACCACGACCCAAAAATCAACAACGACTCCGAGGACAAGTACAGGGACAAGCACTACGCAACAGTCAACATCTACAGTAACTACAACCACTCTAAAGCCAATTACAACTACCCTTAAACCCACCACAACAACTCTTAAGACAACAACAGTGACCATTACTACTCAAAACCCAATAACAACCACACTAAATACCTCTACAGGAACTACAACGACTCAAAACCCAACAACTGATACTCCAAAACAGACAACAACGATCCAGAAATCAACAACGAGTCCGAAAACAACCACAGTGACAGTTACTACTCAACAACCAATAACAAGCTCTCTGAAAACGTCTACAGTAACTACGACCACAAGTTCAAAACCGAACACAACGACCCAAAAATCAACAACTACTTCAAAGACAAGTACAGCGACAAGAACTACGAAACAGACAAAATCTACAGCAACTACAACCACATTTGAGCCATCAATTACTACCCTTAAGCCTATCACAACAACTCGGAAGACGGCATCAGTGGCAACTACAACTCAAAGACCAATTACGACCACACTGAAAAGCACTTCAGTAACTACAACCACCCAAAAGCCAACCACTTCTAAACCAACGACCGACGATTTGACAACAACTCCGAAATTAACAACAATCACACATAAACCAAACACCACCACTCGGAAATCGACATCAGTTACCGCAACAACCACAAGTATCGAGACCTCGAGAAGTCCAACTACGCAAAACTCCACCACAACAGAGTTGACTACTGTAACAAGACCGCACTGTTCCGATCCTGACTCCACCTCAGGTAAGTCGTTCATCCAAAAGCTCCATTTAACCATTTTGAAGCCACAGAACATAAGCAGCTCAGTACACCTAATATCCACACTTGCCTTACAGACAATAACACAAATCCTGCATGCACACAAGAACTCCAACAAGTAAAACAACTTAAACTACATTTGCCACAACATCAAGAAGAGCATATTCACACACAAACCAACATTGAACCAATTGAAAGTAGGACTATTTTGGGAGGGCGGGATGAGTCAGACTACTTGGACGATGCACCATCTTCTGCGAGTGGGGAATCAAGACAGGAAACGACAGCGAAGGCTCCGTCCATGTCCACTCTAGCTGCGGCCCACATACTGCGGAAGCTGTTCCACGTAATCTCCACCACTCCATCGAGCAGGGAGAAAGCTCCCAGGCAGCGCTCGCCCAACGTAACCCTTGGTCAAATGGCCAGGCACAACCTGGCCACCTCAAAGCCTTTCATCGCTCACTCCCTGCGACTTTCTATTCAGCAACTGACCTCCACCCAGAAGCGCTCCATTCAACCCAAGGCTATCGTCGCACTGAACACCACCAAGAAGGAGCCGGCGGACTATGAGTACTACGACAGCAGGTCAGCGGAGCAGTACGTCGACGAGGAGAATGAAGTGCTGTCGAGAACCCAGCCGAAAGCCACATCCAGCAGTCCCAGTCCAGTCCCGTCCACGACTACTGTGCGGGAGCTTCATGAGACAAGTTCCGCACCAAGCCAGCCGAAGGAAGTTTTAATTTCCTCCACAACAGCTCAGCCGTTTCAGGAAACGACGGACGATTTGGAGTACAGAGACAACTCTGGGGACTCTGAATATGTCAACGATGATTACCCGAATGCTAGCCACGTCTCCGAGAATCAGATTCCAGGCGGAATAAACAGCCGAGAGGCAAGAAAGAGTTTTCTGCTGAGCCTGCTTAAAGAGCGATTGACTCAGACAGAAGCGCAGAAGCCATTGGAAACTACTACCAAAGCTGATTCCCTGATATCCAGCACCAGTGCAAGACCGAGCTCCACTAGAATTTCAATCACGAGTACAACCACAACGCCTAGAATGAGCAGAAGTACGCAATCACCTACAAAGCCACCAACTAGGGCGGTACAGCTGCCAGCAAAACACTCCGTTTACCTGAGCCGGGAATACTATGATGATGATGATAATGACGACGAATATATGGAAGAAGATCCCAGTGCCCTTTCTGATACCGCGAAGAAAGACCAGGGTAAAGACAGAGGCAATGTTGCCAAAAAGTCACCAACAGCAACAGCAAAGCGTCACATCGTTCTCCCACTGATACAGCAGCCGATGGAAACTGAATTAGCAACCTTGAATGCGAAAAGCGTGCCTTCAAAAACCGCTTCTGACGGGCTTATGTTCAAAGGACTTGCAATCAGGAAAAGTCAGTTTACCACTAAAAGTTCTCTGAAGCGGCTACCAGGAACTGAGAGTGTAAATAGCCTTGCTAATAACATACCAATTCTTGACATAGTTGGGCACTCTTCGAGGCTAACTATTACACCCACATTAACTTCAACATCGAGTTTAACAAAAATTAAGCCAAAAATGCAAACCACAATGCCAAGTAGAATACTAAGACCTGCATTTACCGCATCTACTGAATCATCCTTTCCAACCCTATCATCAACATTTACAGAACCATTAACGACACTACAAAACAGGCAAAAATTAAGAGAAGGAGAAAAGCACGAAAGTAAATTAGAAATAATCACACCGACAACCTCAGAAACACTTCCGACTGCAACCGGATTTGCAGCAGTCGCAACATCATCAGCAATAGTTCAAAGCCAGACAATGCTGTCAGTAAACAGCAGGCCTTGGTTACTGGCGGCCATCAACCAAACCGTTCACATAACACCCATATCTTCCATTGCCGCTCGAGCGCCGAGCAACCCAGTGAGCCAAGTTAACCGTTCGTTCAACCCACTAGTCTCCAGCCCCGAGGACTATTCCACCGAGAAGGTGCCGCAGCTCATCGTAAAGGTGTACGAGCCCATTGACCTGAAAATCGTCTTCTGCCCGAATTCCTGCGACCAGTCCCATGACCACAAATACGGTAAGTGCAGCTTTTATATTAAACTTCTGACCCTGACCCATTGCCTCTCACTCGCCCACAGACCCAGCTGATAATTATAAGAAATCAAACTGCACTGGAGACTGCGACGAGGAGGAGGAGCGGGTGCACAAGCATGTCGACATCCAGTGGAAACCACAGGAACTGGGCGAAATAGCTGCCTTCCGCAACACAGCATAGATATGTGACCACATTAATTTCAACCACAAAAATAGCCGTAGTCTGATAACTTTTACCTAGTACCTAAATACCTACCTAAATAAATATCTTTAAATCAACTTCTTGGTCGACTGGCAAATGGTTCGGAGACAAGCGGAGATTGGCCAACAAAGAAGCTTCCGACCAGACAGATTGTGCTCTATTTCCATATTTCACCCACCATCCCCGGGGGTTGCAATGGGTGGCACCAATGGTGGAGTGGAGTGGAGTGCACACAAACTCACAGAGGCCACGCCAAAAGAAGCAGCCAGAGTGCACACAAAAAGTTACACGCCAAAAGGAAAGAAAAGCGCGATGTTATGTCGAACGTCCTTCAGGCTGGGTGGGCAGTCGGTTGTGGCTGTGGATGGGGATGATGTGTCTGTGGATGTGGATGTGGTCGTGACCTGTGGTTTCGCCCAGCACGCTGCCTGCCTGTGTCCAGAAGTAAGGGCCACCTGTTGGCACCAGCTGCCGACTAAGCCAACAAAAGAAGAAAGTCCCTAACACAATCGCGGACAACAACAAACCAAGCCAAAGTCTGGTCGGGCCGGCATGCACAACCCACAACCCACTATCAAAAAAGAGGGCACACAGACGACAGCAAATTTCCGTGAATTTCGGAAGCGAATGGGTGGTGCAAAAGGGACCCTCTTTTGTGTGTGCGTAAAGCAAAAGAAAATGCACAAGCGCGGTGCAAGTGAATCCAACGGTTGGTGGAGCCATTGTTTTTGTGGTAACTGCATTGCCGTGCTTTTATTATCTTCGGGTGTTTCACTTCTGTTTTATTCTACACAAAACATAATTTCAGTATCAATTTGATGTTTTAAATCTTACAAAGGGTATTCGTTCTGTGGAGCAATTTCTTGAGGTTGTCTTCAGCACGATGCTCTTTAGAAGAATTAGTTTTCCACAATTATAAAGTGGCGTACCTCTTAATACTTGTGGTTAACTTATTCGAGCTTTAAGAATTTATACGGAATGTCATCAAATCTTGTATCATTACAAAAAAATTTTGCAAATTTTTTTTTTTTTTTGCATTTTTTGCATATTTTAGAATATGCTTTGCATATTTTTTGATTTGATCTCGCCTTCGATTACTATAAAAGACAAAACGTATAAACAAATTGGACAGAAATACGCAAATATGCCAAACCCGAAGTCTAATTATTATTGTTCTTTGAAATGCATTTAATATGCAGGAAGAAGCGTTTATGAGCCTATTAAGTCTGTATATTTTTGATCAGAACTATTAACCGAGTCGATATAGTCAAATCTGCCGGTCCTCATAAGATTTCAAAACTATATAATTAGAGATTTGCGATTTAATATGCAAATTCTATTTATTCACCGCAAGTTTTTTTTTTTTAAATTTGGCCACTATAACTCCAACAATTCACAAAACTCTGTAGGAGACAATTATTGGTTATTTATCGAAAAACCAAATATCTTCCAAATCAAACTAGCGTTCCTTCTTAGTTTTTCTGTGGTACAATTCGCAATTCGCCGTGCCAAATAGACCAGAGTGTCAAATGGCCTCTCCTGCTCCACATGAGTGACCCCTTTCCCCTACATCCAATCTAAGCACCAGTGGTATCAGCGTTTCTGTGCCGGCTTTGGGCGATTTACAGTTATGCGTCCTACAAATCGGCATCAAACGCGCTTAGCAGTCATCATCTTGCTTCTGCCGTTGATGCCGCCGCCCTGCACAAATCTCCAGTTGGCCATGAATTATTCAGCAGTTCAACAGTTGGCCCTTTCCCTTCGCCCCAACTATGGCGCAAAATTTGCAATTTTCATGTAGCATGTAGTCTTGGAATTGACTTCGCTTTGCCACTGTTTCTGTTTTTGCCACTGCCAAGCACACATGCTCCTTGTGCAAATCCTTTTTATGCCCGCATAATACAGTTCGCACGCATTGCTTGTGAAGGGCGGCTCTGAGCCGAGGACGTCACATTTGGCACACGATGCGCGCGTCATTCAATTCCATTTCCATTTCCATTCCCATTTACCCGACCTTGCGACCCCACGACGCTCCGGCATTCGTACATTTCCATTTGCAGCGCGACGCCATTCCGAGGGCAATATAACCAAGTTCAATTACCTGTTACTGCCGTTAGATGAATTTCTATGGCCACTACATGTCCCGACTAGTTGAATACTGTTCGCAGCCTGCAGGTCCCAGCTTCTTAGGTCTTGTGTGGGGTGAGAGTGGGTGGGATATGCGAGTGTGTGCCTTTTTTGAATATTTCAAATGTTTTTGTTTGCGCCACGCCAACAGCTTCGACAGCATCGACGATGGCTAAAAGTTGTAACTTGGCAAGTTGGGGGAAGCAGATGCGATGTGGAGGTGGAAGAATAACGACACACTTTGGCACGCATTTGTGATAAACATAAATGAGCTTAGAAATGAACCCCGCAGGATAAGGCACATACGCCCATACACGCATGCATAGTGTAAGGAGTGTAAGGAGTGTAAGGAGTGGGCGGGTGGAGGGTGTGTGGCTTTGCGAACGAGAGCGTGTCAGGGGGTCGAATTTGGAATCGGGAGCAGAGTATTGACTACATACAGTAGACATCAAGTATCAGGCCAAACAGAGCACATTATACAAATGGTACGACATTAGATAAGCCTAAGTGCAAATTGGCTAACAAACCGGGATTTGTGTTCGCTGTTTTCCGCCTTTGGCTTGGCGCCTTTGTTCTATACGGCTTAGCCGGGATGCGTATTCGGAATCGGGGCTCTTTTGCATGTCGCAGCTGCCCCGGTGGCTCATCACATATGCATGAGGCCATGGGCATGGTCAAGGGGGAGGGGACAGGATCCGCCGTAAAGGATTGATAGTGCTCCCTCGTCGAAAAAGAGTACGAGAGTCCATCAGCCATCGACCATCGACCATCGACGGCATCTCAGACTGAGCTCATCTTTTGGCTGCCATTGTTTTTTAGTACCTCCTGAGTCAGCGGGCTCCACTAATGAGTATCGAATGGGGCCAGTGGATGCTGATAACTGGTATTTGGGTCGACTTCGTTATGCTTTCTTTTGGCCACCCGAGCAGACAGAGTCGTGTGCTGGCTGCTGGCTCGGCACAAAAAACGCCAAAGAATCGCTGTGCATCGTGTGCGGAAAAAGGAGCAACAGCAGCAGCCGCACAGGGTCGAGTCGGCGGAAAACAAAGCCAAACCGAAAAGAGTTTGGCGAGGCGAGGGGGCTTGGAGTTCGGACATGTGGCACACTTCGTGTGAGAAGCAAAAAAACTGCCAAAAAATTCGTCCTTGATTCGTTGCAGTTTCTTTTTGGCGTGATCGGTCTGGTCTGGCCGGGTTCGAGTGTCGTGCGAGCTGTGAGTTTTCTAAAACGAAAGCAAAAAGATGCACACACAGTTGTAGATGTGGATTCGGATGGAAAGTGGGAGTGGTAAAGGACATGCGGCTGTCGACTGGAGATGGGGTTGAGGACTGGGGCTTGGAGTTCGTCGTCATGAATGAAACTCTCTGTTTGCGTCCGTGTGTGACTCGGTGGGTGATGGATGCTAAAAGGATGGGGAAGTCGTGTTTGTTGCTTGTCTTTCGCCATCGTTGCATACTTTTTGGCTAGCGACGCACTTTGATTGCTTTTGGCTTTTGCCACCAGTGCAGTCACTTTTTGTGTGCCACATTGGCGTGGTGCTCCTGTTGCTTATTCAGCTCCTTTTGCTCTTGCCTCTTTCCTTGCCAGTTTTTTCCTGTGTTTTTGGCTGGCTCAGTGGGGCAGGAACTCGTTTAGCCGATTGTTTCATTTGATTTCGCCTCGCTGGCTCCGCTCCGGTTTGCTCTGCTCCACTTGGCCATGGGGATGGGGCTTTGTGTCCAGATTTCGTGGCCGACTGCATCGGCTGGCGTGCTTCAGCGGCCGCTTTGTGTGCGTCCCTTCCAGGCGGCACACAAATGGCAACAATTTGCAACTCATCGTTGAGTGCACCGGACTTGCATCCATCCCTGTGCGGGCCAAGTGCCTCCCAAGTGGCCTGCGAAAAGCTCTTCAAGCGTGTCCCGACAAATACGGATACGGAAGGCAGCGTCCGGATGCAGGCTTGAATCTTAAACTCGCCCTGCACCCCTGCACTGCGTGGCCAAATAGGCATTTGCCGCGTTTCATATGCTTCATATGCAATCGCATTAAGGCTATCCTTATTATTTATTGATTTAATTGATTTTAAATATACATAAAGCCGCGGTCCATCCAATATTTGTCTTTGGCTGCAAAGCGCAAAGGTGGCAGTGGCTTTCAATTAGCGGGCCCAAACAAGGCATCAGCATTACCCGGACGGGGCTCTCTGCCATCGCGCGGACTGGGAAATGGAGCCTCTCGGTGATGGCGCTGGTTTTTAATTTGCTGTTTGCATTATCCGATTTCAATTTTTATTTTGCTTTTCCCCTGCCCACGCACTGCAAATATTTTCGTTTCTTTGATGCAATTTCGCTAGTTTTCCACATGCCTGATGACAGTAGCTGGTAGGGGCTGGGGAATATTGCCACTTTGTTGATTAAACATTAATTTTGCCTCGAAAATGCACTATGCGAATCGATTGGCCAGTGTGAGGGCGCGGCGGGTAGAAGAGCCGATGTCAACGATTTGTAGCCGCACTCTCCTCCACTTCCCACCCTCTCCACTGACCTACCACTCGACACTTGCTCGATTCTCGCCAGTTTGTCTTTTCCCATTCTAATGTGGAGTCACTTGAGTGCCCAAAAATATGCTCATAGAATTCACTTCCACTTGCTCTGCAAGTTAAGTTGTCAGTAAATGCTTAAGCGCAGACCAACGAACCAAGCAAAGTCGGACTCCTGGAGAATCTTTAGAGTCCTGTGCATTAGCTCGCCAGGTAACTCGGAATTATTTGTGAGTTTGCATTTTTTATGCTAATTGTTTCGTCCGGAGCTGCGCGATGACAGTCGCTCCTCCTCTCTTGGCCAGCCCTGCTTCTGGCTTGGTCTCTTTTAATGCAAACTTTTTATTTTATTGAAGCATTAAAACGCATCTTTTACCACCGAATCGCAATATTGACG